TATGTGAAATGAGCACCAAAGTTACTTTACGATGGCATCGGAATAATAGTGGTAGCTTTACAAAAAAAAAAGCAGCAACAGCAGATATATAATAAGTACAAGAACAAATAAATAAACGAATATGAATATAATGAAGAGCAAACAAACCATAATAATAAAGCAGATCGAGCCTTTTTTTATCCATCTTTTTCTCGTCATTTATCTACAAGTTCCGGACACGTTTTATTAATTAATTAATTAAGACTTATTTTTTAATTGAACAAGTCGACATAAAGATCTAACTTGAGAATAGCTAATTCAGAATTTATAAATTATTTTTCTTTTGTCCATAAAAAACAAAGTAACAGTAAATAATATAAATAGCAATACAATTTTGTTGTTATTTTTTATGTTTTATCTTAGTTAGTCACTCAAGGAAGACAGAACTCGAGAGGTCTCGCGCCACTAACACTTCTATTTCTACCTATCTTTTTCTCTCATTGCCTTCAGTCTTCATTCTTCTTTTCTTTTATTGTCGCGTATCCTGAAAAAACAAAAAATAAAAACTATCTTGAGGGTGGGGTGTGGGTGCGCAGTCCGAGTAGGTGGGTGACGAGTGTGGACGTTTCTGTTACTGTGCAATTTATTCAAAGCCATATCTACACCCACACCCTAGATACATAACGTGTTGAATTTATTAATAAGTAATTGATGATCAGAATGAAGTGAAATGATCTGATATTTATTTGAATCAATCATATGTTTGCAATGATTTTCAAATATTGATTCTGATTCAGAAGAAAATCGAATTTATAGAAGATATGATGAATTAGAGAGAAGATTTTTAAAACGATTATTTAGATTTGAAAATGCTTTATAAATATCTTGACAAAGAAGATAATAAAAGATTTCATTTGATAATTGTTCAATTAAATCAATTGATTTTCCTTTCTAGAAAGAATAAGATGTTTATGAATTACATGAATTATTTATAAACTTACTCTGTAATTTTACATTCGATAAATGAATATATTACTCAATTTATATTTATTTTAGAATTAAATATTATCTACATTAATGCCCAGAAATCAATTCTGTCATTCTTTCATTCATACAATCTAAGTCTTTGCGCAATTATAATAAAAAGCGCACATTTTTTCGCCATTGAATATCAAATGCATTCGCCTATACGAATAGAAAGAGAACATTAAGTGTCAATCTATTTTCAGATATTTATACGTATCTGTTCAGAGTTAACGAAATGAAAAGAATTTAAAATTCTTTTTCTATGATGGTTTTGATTCAATTGTGTCTTAGAAAATAAGATATTAAAGATAAAATGAACACCATGTCGAGCAAAAAATTCTTATTAAAATATCATAAATTAATTAATATTAGGGATGCGTTTACATATAAATAGATGATATTATTTCTTGTCTAAATTAGAAATAAAACAAAAGTTAATTTTTAAATGAATGCTATTTTTTCCATCAAAAACCTATAATTAAAATTGATGTAATATAAAGAATGTTTTATTTATTCTCGTTATTTATATGAAAATTTCAATATATTGAACTTTTTAATTTAGGAGTCTTACTTCCAGAGATGTACACAGGGCACATTTTTTCATACTGTCCTGTTGTGCCTTGAGAAAAAAATGGTATATAAAAAACAATTGTATTCTACTCTGCAAAACAAAAACAATATTTTTCATATTCACATTATAATAGTTTTATATTTTATTTTTCAATTTTAAAATAAAGTTTGGGAGATAGTTCTCATAGATAAAGACGA